CTGGATTCGTCATCGCAAAACCGATGTCGGACACTACAGCATTCAAAGTCGCACAAGTATTTGAAGAATGCATTTACCGAAGATTTGGGGCACCGTCATTACTAAAGCATGATAGAGACCCTCGCTTTATGAGCGAAGTATTTCAAGCATTTGCCGAGATGATGCAGTCAAGACCGAGAGCAACTCTGAGTTATCGGCCACAGGCCAATGGGTAGCAAGAATGATCAGTCAAGACGGTGATGCAGTCCGTAAAAGTCTATGCCAAAGACCCACTTCAGCAAGACTGGGGCGAGATTGCAGAGCATCTAGTCTTTGCCATCAACACTCAATGGACACTACCAGAAAGGAAACATCTTTCTACTTATTTCACGGATGGGATGCCAGCTCAACAATGAAGGCGATGACGACGTCTCTCCGACATGGAATTCCGAAGCAGCCCGAAGCCTTAGCATGGCGTCGAGAAGTCAACCGACCATAGGAAGTTGCGTGACGGATGGCCCGAGAATATCAGCACACGAAGAGCAAGACTTCACACCAACGCAATGAGTAAGATGGAGAAAGCGTCGTTGCAACACGAGGAAACAGAAGACTCGACACGCCAAGACGACGAGGACTCAGCTACCAAATCGAAAGCGAGCAAGAAGAAGTTGTTCGAAGAAGGAAGTCGAGCGTGGCTCTACATGGAGAGAGTCAAATCAGGACTCACGAAGAAGCTCCCTCATCGGTGGAACGGACCATTTTGCATCAAGAAGAAAGTGGACGAATTTGCTTTTGAATTGGAACTCCCGGACAACAGCGGCTACTGGTTCTATGCAGTAGTGCATATCTCAAGGTTGAAGCCAGTAAACGAATTATCTAGTCGACCTACGACTCTACTCGCACCTGAAGTAGTCTAATGGATTTTGACGAGGCATTCCTTCCCGAAGATTCATGGGAACCAGACGACATTGGTGGAGAGTATGAAGTAGAGGCCATTTTGGATGACCGAAGACCACTTCAAACCAGTACCGAGAAGTCGGTGAGAGAATTCAATGTAAAGTGGTTGGGGTACGACGAACCAACATGGGAGCCGGCGTCACATCTTTCCTGCGGTGGGCTCCTTTATGACTACTTGCAGCGGAAAAAGAGTGAACACCGCTTCTAGATGGTTCAAGTGGCGGACGAAAACTAGCCGCCAAGCCAGCCCATCGAATGATCTGAAGTCTGGGGCAATGCAGCCCATAACGCACAGACGAAAACAGCTATTGCATCAATTGTATGATTTATATTATATGACTTATGAACGCGAAGGTTAAGCGGAACGTGGAATTAAGAAAAAAAAACGTTATTCAAGCCGACAACTCACTATTCCAAACTACGGGCTTGAACGAGATGGCAAAATTCAAATGATCTGAGTAGACAAATCTTCGTCTTCGTCCTCAATAATAGGGGGAGGCTCTTCAATCTCCTCTTGCTCCGACTCTTCTTCTTCGGAAACCTCATCGTCCTCTTCACGAGAGGTCGGTGCTGGGTCTTCACCGTCCTGGGTAAAATCAGTGTCCTTCGTGAGAGCCATAAGACGATTAAGCAGCAACAACTCGGGAGGATCCGCAGGCTCGACCAAGTCTTCGGGAGTAGGATCATATGCAATCAACGACTCCACAACCGGAGGTGAACCTTGGAAAGTCTGCTCCCAACCGCCGACGATTTCCGCGTTAGTGAGAGCTGGATCATGGACAATGAGAGGACCGACAGAACCCAAAGAATGACCAGCAGGAACGAAAAGCGGACAATCAGGGTTGCATGGATAGAAAGTCGTATTGAAGGGATGCTTCCCCGGGCAATCCAACCCGTAGTTGCGCCATGGATCGCGAACATCAAGCTCAACAACTTCCTTGAGCCACATTGGAGTCTTGGGAATCCACGTGATATATTCAATCCCGTAAAGCGGCATGGAGGGTTCAAACAGGAATTCTGGAATCATGCCGTCAACTGGAGGTGGAGACTCAAGCGACCACTTCCAACAAATGTAAGGATACAGGGTGCGAAGTCGGTCGTTGTGCTTGCCACGATCGAGGTTGTAGTCACGCCAGGCATCGTCAACGGTATCAGGCATCGCCTTGATCTCGAGAACTTCCAATCCATCAAGAGTGGGCATGTTGAGGCGAAGAGTCGTGAAGGCCATCATGATAAACAACTCCACCGCACGAGGAGGAATCCAGTGGTCACGTTCCCACTGCGAAAAGCCGAGCTCGGGGTCCTTCCTGTGACCAGCACCACGGATGTTTCTCCAATAGCCACGATATCTCAGATCGGGAGGAGCTCGTTGCGAAAGCGAATCTTCTTCATCAAAATCAGTAGTGTCGAAAAGACAGGTTTGGGAGGAAATTGCCGGTGAGTCTTCTGCCAAGGATGTTGAGGATTCATATAATCGGCGAAACGTGCGATTCCCGAAGCCAAACACTGGATCTGGAGCTTAGCTGGAATGGGAGTAGGTACTCGGGAATTGAGAATTCTCATCCAGCATTTGTCGAAGCCACGGAGAGCGAAAGAGGGTGAAATGTAGGCGCCAGCCCACTTGAGGACCTTCTTGGGGAACTTGGTGGTGAGCTTGAGCTTGGCCGAAGCCGTAATCACACGTCGCGAAGACACGGAAGCCTGAGAACCGGACCCACTTCAAGTCTTCTTGGTCGGTTTTCCTTTTGTCCTGGGTTTACACTGGATAACAATAGGAGAGAAGGACTGTGTACCACCCGACGGCTCCACAGGAAGAGAAGGGACTGAAGGAACCAAAGACTGAGTAACTATCGCAGCGTCGGCAACCGTGGGCGGAGGCACAAGTGAAGGAGTCTCGGGCTGATCCTGGACAGAGGCATCTGCAACAGGAGTAACGGACAACGGCACACTTTCCCCAGTCACATGAGACGTTGACACAGCTGATTTCTCTTAATTCAGATCGAGAGGGGAAGAAGTATCCAAGGGTTCAATTGCTGCCACTTCAGCCACCGAAGACTGGCTGTCCAAGTAAGTCAAGGCTTCAGCGCCACTTATCTCACCTTCCGAAGATTCTGAAGAATCAAACAAAGCCGATCGCTTGAGCCGACGGAGCTTGCTGGTTTTCGAAACTGGAACTGGATCTTGGCAATCCTCCATTCGACATCCTCCTCGAGAACAGCAGCATCAGTAGCACGCTCTTGTTCAACCAACAAGGATGCTTTGAAGGAGGTCCACTTGAGCCCGTCGAGGTCGGTTGGCAGCAATAGTGTTGCTAGGGCCCACAGGGCGCTTACGTGCTCCCGAAGAACGCGACTTGGGAATCAGATCAGCACGGGGTGACGATGGGCCTTCATCACTACTTACCAAATCCAATACGGCAGGCACGCAAACTTAATCAACGGCAGGGCCTACAACAGGTGCCAACGGAGCTGGAGAACTTGGTGATGACTTCGAGAGCGACTTGGAACGGGGTCGTGACGTTGTTTTCTTAGAAGAAGCCTTCTCAGACATCGAATTGGAGCGGGAAATGGACTGAGAACGAGATGCGAGAGCCGCGGTTTGGGCCTTGGCAGAAGACTGGACAAAACGGCCAGGCACCGAGTCTCGCGGAAGGGTGAGAGGAGGAATTTGATTCCCCGAAGACTCACGGCGAGGTCGTTTGGGGGTCTGTGAAGCACTTGCCTTCCGCTTGGGAACAGACGCCTACGACTTGACTGGAGCTCATTTCCGCTGGAAAAGTCAGCAACTTCTTGTGCTGAAGTCCCACACGACGTGCGTCTTATCGGCAAATTTTTTCTTGCGATCGACGGGACCCGCAGATTCACCACTTTGCTGAAAATAATCAACGACTTCTTGTGCCGAAGTTCCAGGTTACGTGCGTCGCTTATCGGCGGAAATTCTCTTGGGATCTACGCAACCCACGCTCGGCTTCATATCTAGACTGAGCAAGCAGCTGGGCGAGAGAATCGGGCGGAGTGGCAGGATCGGCGTTGAGATATTCATCGCGAAGCACATCTTTGGTGTTTTCACACACTTCAAGCATGTTCCAGTCAATTTCGCCAGTGGAATAACCTGATACAAACCAAAAGCACTTAGTAAGGGATGAACAAGGATACGCTACAAGGAAACAAGAAGGAACCTTCGGTAACGAGAACAAGATCATCAGGACCGAGCTGGTCCAGCTTCACGTGCGATCGCAGGGTTCGGTTCGCGGTCATGAGCAGGCGGTTGCACTCCAAAATTCAGAACACCGACGACTGGCCTTGCCTTCAGCAGAATCATCAACAATATGAGAAATCGCCCGCGTGGTACTCAAATTGGCCACTTGGGAGGTGTTCGCCGCGACCTTGGTCATGAACTCGCTCTAGGCATGCTTCAATTGACGATTCAAGTCGGCAACAGTGTCCTCGGCAGCACGAACTCGGTTTTCACCCTGAGCCAAAACTTCGCTGTGATCGCTAATGTTAGCCTCAAACTTGTCGGAGACAGCGTTGTAGTGAGCCGTCAGAGCCTGAGCGTGCTCTACACACTTCCCAAGAGCCGCGATCTCCTGATGGCAGGATCGAAGGAGGCCTTCGGCATTTTCACGAAGACCAATCTCAGTGAGCAGGCGCCCCTCGGCTGCC